ATGTAAGTTTGTAATATCGAATATATCCTTAATTGAATACCAGTTAAAATTACAATTAAACTTAAATTTCATTTACTTAAATGTCGATTGTGAGTTATTTTGTCACCAGACTTTTGATGATACGAGTATTATAGCAATATAGCCCTCGATTATATTTAAAATACCTTTCCATTTTTACTCAAAGGTTTGCTCACTGTTAAGCACTCTCTAAGTAAGAAATTATATTCAATTTGCAGAAAGAAGCGTCAATATTAAGGCGAATTTAAATTTAAGCGAACTCATTTACAACTTTCAAAGCAAATTAGTCTAAAAGATAAAAGAAATGTACAAAGGCTTTGTTTACAAAAGTTCTACCTTACGTATACTTTTGAATATCAAGAAATTCTCATAACGCTGGAATACAAAGATTAATTCTTTATAATCTTCAAAATTTAATATTACATGTTTAGTTTTTATACTTCGATGGTTTGGGTACGTGGAAAATAAGGAGAAGGCCGTAGAATATTATTAAAACGAAGCTTATTATACAGGACGGCCATTTTTTTCATACCGACCAGTAATAATTTTAATACCTATCAAGTGACCCGCGTGGTCCCCAGGGAACTAACTGTTTAGCGAGATAAAATGTTGCCTATATGTTAATCCAGGTTTATAAATCCAGTAGATTGTGCGTGAAGAAGTAATAAACATCCAACCATTCAAACATACAAACTTTCACCATTATAATATTACTAGCTGACGTCATCCGGCTACTCTACAGACGTCGTCCGGTCTTAATTATTGAATTCGAACAGTTTTTTTACATCTATTTGACAATATTAACAGCACATATTCTGTCAATTCTATTTTCATCAGGATATTAGCTCATTGACGATTTAAATCCATCCCAAGGTTGCGTGGAAGAGATCACTTTTAGTGATAAGGCCGCCATTTGTACGTCTCCTTTTACAATTGAAATTGTAAGTGTTGTGTGTGTGTACAATAAAGTATATTCTATTCTATTCTATTCATATTTTTTAACGCGCTAAGGTATTATTAGAAATAATTTTATGTGGTGATTATATTTTCTCAAGTATTTCAATATTTCCACACAATTTTCTAATTTTTGTCTTTCATACAACCTTCTCCTGAAAATAAAAAAACAACAAAAAAAAGAATTACCGATTTCGGTCCAGCCGTTCTTGTGTGATGACGTGACCAAAGGAAATAGGGGTCATTTTTATATACATATGAGTAAATGAATCGAAACTCTCATATGTAATTATTAAGCACATTTGTATGTTGAGATCCATATTTATAAGGAATAGTTTAGCAATATATTATCACTTAAACGTGATACCGTTTACGCTGTTTTATCACACCTTGCAACCTTTCTAATAGGGTTGTCACTCACCTAACCACACCCGAGTGAACTATTTATATACCTTATCTTTTCTGGGGAACATAAATATACAAAGAATTTATGATGACGTACGATTAAATATGAATTACCTTGCCCTGGCAGTGGATATAATGAATTAATGATGAAACTGATATTAGGTCCTTAAATTTGAAATTGGCGTTTAGTCGTACTGGCCACTTTAATTACAAATTTCTTCTCCTTGGTTGGAAATTCCAAATTCAAATTTATACAGCCATTTACACATGTATTTGTGTTTTGTAAGGCGGCATTCATTTGTTTTTTTTTTCAGTCTTCTCTTTGTCCTATTTACGTCACCCAGTATAAATAAAAGAAAACTTGAAATATTGTATTATTTACGAGTACGAGTTCCACCGTGGTACCAGTGCTGCGGAAACGGCTCGAAGGGTTAATGATGTGTATGGCGGTTGTGTTGCAAAAGAAAACACAGTGCTTTTTTGGTTCCAACGTTTTCGTTCTGGTAATTTCGACCTGCAGAACAAGCCCCGTGGACGGCCGACGAAGACCCAAAATAATAATGAAGAATTGAAAGCTATCGTGGAAGCCGATCCATCCCAAACCACGTATGAATTAGCTTCAGGCTGCGATGTTAGTTGAATTGGAAAGATTAAAATGCTTGAAAGGTGGGTACCTCACGCCGGCCAGTTTACTTGAGTGAAGCAAACCGGCAAACGCGCTTCGACTGCTGCGTTACATTACTTTACCGGCACAATAATGAAGGGTTTTTAAATCGAATCATTACCTGTGATGAAATGTGGATTCTCTATGATAATCGGAAGCGCTCAATGTAATGGCTGGACCCTGGCATGCCAGCCAAATCCTGCCCCAAGCTAAAATTGACCCCAAAAAAAGTTATTTATAAGCGTTTGGTGGACTAGTGCCGGTGTCGTTCATTACAGTTTCCCCAAATCTGACCAGACGATTACGGCAGACGTCTATTGTCAGCAATTGCAAACCATGCTGGAAAAACTAGCTGTTAAACAACCGAGGCTGGTCAACCGCTCTACGCCACTGCTACTTCACGACAACGCTAGGCCACACACTGGACAACAAATGGCTGCCAAATTAGAAGGGAAAAATTCATCTCCGATGGGGCAGTGCAAATTGCCTTCAAAGACTTTATTGATTCCCGTCCGAATGTTTTTTTTAGTAAGGGGATCAATGAACCATCTATGAGATGGTAAAGTGCATAGATAACAATGGTTTATACTTTGATAATATATATTATATTAAAAAATATTCGACTTCTTGTTCCTCCCATACCAAACACCAATTTCATATGTAAGGCCCTAATATATGATGCAAAAGCGATATAATGTTACATTTTTACGTAATTTCATATATAATTCGGGAAAAACGAGTTTGTCTAAACATTATTGTGTCTAGTTTTACCTAAATTATAATAGTGAGGCATCTAATTAATGTCTGTAAAAATTTTTCAAAGTGGTGACAACCCTACATGATCGCTATGGCAACCCTCCACTGAAGATCGAACACTTACGTAATGAATTACAATGAACCACTCATCTGATTGGCGGCCATCTTGCCGCGGGTATACAGGGTGCTCCGCTTTTGTTAAAGTACCGTTTCTTTAGTTGAGATTATTCTAAGACTATGGTTTGAATTGAAAAGGGTAGACATTACCTTATACAATCGCTAATTGTTATTTTTAATTAAATCTTAGTGACCTTTCTTTGTGGGCTTTCATCAAATCGGATTTTAGTAATAGAGTTCGGCTGACAGTTGCCCTCCCTACTTCCTAGATTTTGCTCACCTGTGCAGAAGGATAAATTTCGCAAAAATCATGATTAATTTCAATATTTCCGTCAGAATTGCTTGATCTGTCCTGCGATTGATAATTCTATAAAAATCCAAACCCGAAATGCGCTTGTGCACTACACTAAATTTTCAGGTGCGGCGGTCCGATTTTGTCCGGAATGACACAAAAAAGCCGGATGAGTAGCTTGTGCACTTGTCCGTTTTTTTCCTGATCGGAGCGGTTTAGTGTAGGGTAGCTCTCTTTGAAGCTACACGTCACGCTAGGTATGATGAGATTTTTGGAACATCGATACTTGCTTGCTTTGTTCTTTGGCGCCATTTCGTAAACAAATCGAAATAAGTTGCGTGTAAGCGGAGAATTAATATGCTAAATGAACTTTACGATGGCATTTAAATCAGCCATCCTATTGTAAGTTTTAAATATCATGATTTAACTATAATCATTGTAAGATCAGTTGACTATATTATATAATAAATAGGTATAATTTTATACGCGTGGCATAGTTTCTTTGAGTGGGATTACTTTACATTTAGAATTTTTCTTTTATTTAATTTATTTATGACACAAGCAGTTTCAAATTTTATTACAATAAATTACTTCTGTTAATCTTCTATTTATTCTTTATTATTACTTCTGTTATCAAATATTTATTTATACTTATCAATTGCCTAAAAACAAATTTTGATATTGACAAATTTCCATGCAAACTTTCATTCCCTATATTCACCTCTTTTTCGCGATAAAAAAAGTCTAGTCTCGAAAAGCTAGATCGACAACTAATAAAAAAAAAATCTCTAGAATCTAGCAAAGTATCAATACTAGAACCATACGATGATCAAATTAGAACTATATCGAGTTGGCCAAGGCATATGCAGTGATATTTACCAACTTTATTGAATTATTATATAAAATATCGCATTTTAAAATTTACAATAAACATAGCTTTTTCATAAGTCGATTATTTTTTCCCAAGCCTACTCCGTAGGCTCATGAATTTTTCGGATCGCGGACACAGCAGTGCACAAGCAACGTTTTTCATTGCCGCCATCACGGACCTGAAAAAACTGGTCCGGAATAGAGAAAAGTAAAATTCCGGACGGTAAAATTCCTGACAGTGCACACGCTAGCATTACCTACATTGACATATCGGACTTCACATATTGGACCGGAAAAAATCGGACCGCCGGATCTAAAAATTCAGTGTAGTGCACAAGCGCCAGAATTCGTATTCGTATTCACTCGGGTGTCCGAAATTCACCTAAAAAAGCGGTATTCGCTCAATCTTCGATTAGTAATAACATTTCGTGGCATAAGTGAAGTGAGTTTCGAAATGATATACGAATAGAATATCTGTTTTGTATTTAAAAAAAAAGTAAAAGAAAATGGAATTAACAGAATTTCTTCACTTAATGACGTGAATTATGACATGTGAGGGAATTCGAATTCGGGTTCGGATTTTTACAGAATTGCTCTGCGCAAACGAAAGCTCATTATGTGCCTTATTAGTTGGAATTTGGAAATTTATCTACAGCAGGTCAATTCTGCTAATTTTTACGTAATAGTCGCATCCCAAAAGAATGTCAGCGATTTGCATTTTACCATTGTACTATCAACCTAAAATTCAAAATTATTGGTGACAGATATATAACAATTCTATTGGACTTCAGGTAGATTATAATGGCAAAATATAATTAGAGATTCTATTGAGATATGATTATTATTTAAATATTAGCTGTACGTCTATAGTATCATTCATAACATTTTACATTTAAATCTAAGAGTACAACATGTTGTACTGACCGACGGTGGTAAGCAGCATGTTGTCCAATAAAAGTGCGATGGCAACAATGACCAGCACCAGCTTCCTAGACTCGCGGCAGGCGGCAATACGAGCGCGCCACCCACCCATCCCGTCTGATGCCACGCCCATCGCGACACCCGAGGCCTGTAAAACAAACGTACAAAATACAGTACATATAATCATTCACAGTCTACATAACATTGTTTAACCTACTGATTGTTTCAGATATATTAGAGTGTATAGTAAGTTATCGGTAGGATTACCAGATGAAAAAATCAAAAGTCCGAAGAAAAGGCTTGATTTCCATTTCAAAATCTTGAGATATTCTTACAGTGAGAGATTTTTCTCTCACACCAATTTAACAAATCAAAAAAGTCGAATTATTATTGTTTTTAAAATTATTAAAGAGACCTTAAAATGTATATAAAAAGTACTAAAAATTCTGAGTTTTGCAAAAACGGACCGCAATTCTGGGTTGAATCCTGCGATCTCAGGAAAAATCCTGATATATGGTGACCCTAACAGTACAGGACACCGCTGTACCTGAAGACACTTTGTACTATATATTTTTCAAAGGTGATAGTGATTTATGGATTTATGATGTAACTTCACACAGATGCAATCGCTTGTGGAATTACCTAATGAAGATTTTAATGATCAAGAAACAAAATAAAAACTTAATCAAAACTCTCGAATATTTGCAATTAGTTTTCAACTCTTTTGTTTGACATTACTCTAATTCCTATTGATGATATAATTCATTTAATTTCTTTCAAAAAGTCACAATTGCTGTCCCATGTCAAATAGTAGTAGTCTGAAGTTTGAGAATGTCTTTCAAATGTCTAACGGAAAGGGATTGCGATAATTTTAAAATAAGAAAATTAAAACTCTGGTACTAAGTTAGCCCCTTTATAATAAGATGGAAAAAATGCGAATAGGATTTAAAATACAATTTCTTTGTGTATATTCTTTACTTTTTAATTAGCACAAAATATTACCTTCCTCCATTTGCATTGCATAATTTTTAAAGAAAATTAGATTTTTACATGTCTGCTACATTAACTCTAAATACACTGCGAGGCAGTCGTGTAAAAATTACTCTTATTCATACATGAACCAGAGTTCCGGTTTTTGTAACAGTACCTTTATATATTTTCTTTGACCACAGAAGAACAGATGTTTCCAACAAAACGATATCTACACAGTGGGTGTAAATTATCGTCTAGAGGAGCAATTTACCACTGTTCGCACATCAGTCTCGAGTTCGAATCATTTATCTAATTTGACTTTGTAAAGGATACGGCTACGCTTATATAGGAATTAGCCTGGACGCGCACACTACTTTTCCGTGCTCGGTTTCTTGGTCAGAAATTCCGATTTAAAGACCGTGTAGATAAAAACTGTTTCAAGTTAATCAGACACTGGCAATATTTTGTAGTTATGTCACTCTTTATTCTCGTATGACAATTTGTAAAAACGTGTTTACAAAAATATATTAATAGGTTGGGGAAAAAGTTTCTTCACATTTTATATGAAAATTCAAAACATTATTTAATATAGTTTATTTACATTTAACTAAAGTATGTAGGTACTATTTTGTACGATAATATTTTACAATCTTGTAGGTAGATACATGATTCTATTGTTATGGAAACTCAGGGGCTTCTGATCAAAAAACCGCGACAAGTGGTTTTAGCAGTCCTTGCATGATGTTAACCTGACCTGAATTCTATACACAGTCTAAAGAATTCTGAAGAGACCGAAACAAGTGGAAATCTGAAGGTACAAGGTCAGGACTATACGACGGATGCAATAACACCTCCGAGCCAAGCTCTCATAATTTTTGCTGAGTGGCAAAAGATGTGTGAGGTCTAGCGTTATCATGATGAAAAACCACACCCGTTCTATTGATTAATTCTGGCCGCTTTCTCTCAACTTCTTGCTTTAATCACGTCAATTGTTCTCAGTAGAGTTCAGAATCGATGGTTCAGCTTGGTGATAACGGCTCATAATGAATAATGCCATTCCAATCCCATTATACACTCAGCAACACCTGGTTGCGAGTTAACCCGGGTTTCGCCACAGTCTGTAAACCTGACTGACCTTTGACCACGACCTTTTTCGCACGTTGGGTTCAGTGAAGTACCCATATATCCAACTTTTTTATGTACCCAGCTTTTCAAATGGGCTAAAACTGTTTTGCGGTTAATCGCCAGTTCTTCAGCTACGCGTAACTACTTGCTCAACTTTTTCAAAAAAGGCATCCATTTTATCTGTAACTACTGATATGCCGATATTGCTCAACTTTTTCAAAAATGGCATTCATTTTATCCGTAACAGGGCGACCGGAGCGACGAGCATCTTTGCCATCAAAATTTCCGGACTGAAATCTTTTAAACCAAATTTGTGCCACTCTCTCAGAAAGCGCACTAAGTCCATAAACGGCTTTCTTTTCACGGCTTGCGTAGTATTTCTCCTTAAGATTCACTCATTTTGACAGTAAGTAAAACAAATGAAAATCACACATTTTCCTAATTTAAATTCGGTGTTATCTTTTTTAAAAATTAAACTTTTTAAAGATACCGAAACCAGCCAGATACAAATGGTAAAGCCAGAAAATAAATATTACAAGTTTATACATACTATATGTGAGAAGACTTTCCCAAACTAATATATTCTTCAATCCACTTCAATTCTTTATTGCACAGTTTCTAGAGACCGAGAGCTAATTGTCTAATTTTAAATTAGAATTTGACAATCGAACTCCACGCTACATTTATTTGACATGCGATTGCAATCGCTTCATTTTTGAAAGACATTGAATGAACAATGTCGGTAATTTAATGTTAATTGTAATTGTCTATGGCAAGCGTTAGACGCAAATATCTTTAAAAGCTATCAAGAAACGTTAAACGAAAAATTGTTATGCGAACAGAAAACGAATGTGCGTGGTCAGATTAAGACATAATTTGATCTCATTTACATTTGATCTATTTAATAAAAAGTTTAAAAAATATAAAATTATCTCCAAATTATTTTAACAGAATAGCAGTCGACGGAAGTGCCGTCATATTGGTGGCAGGGCGTCGTTAGCGCCGCGCTCATTTCCGGCAGCCATTTTGATTATCCAACCGTCGCGGCCATTGTGTGGCGTTTTGAAATTTTAATTGAGCACTTAAGTCTTATGAACGTTTACCCGAAAAAAAAAAAACTCTACCGGAAAGAGTGATAATTGAAATACCCAGATTCGTTATAAAATCATTTAAAATTTTAAAGTTAACAATGTCGTTGTTGTCGCGTGAATCAGATATATTCCTGTCGCAAACAATACACACTTAAAAAATGTGTTTCTACCTTAAGTTGCCTGAATATTGAAGAAAATATACTCACTATAGAGTGGCGAAAGTAACATGTGCTTAAGAACTAAGTGGTCACGTTACCCAAGACAGGTAAATTTTGAAATACTACTCGTACGAATTAACATGATACCAGAAAACTAATATTTAACTGACTTCAAAATCGAAAAGGAGGAGATTATAAGTTCGACGGCGATGGAATTTTCATGTAAACAGGTTCCTTCACATAAAATTAAGGTGTTGATTGTCTTTTTTTAAACCTTAGCCATATATGAACACGGAACTTGCAAAGGGCCCGAAACGTCAATAAAAGAAAAATACGCGATGAAATCGTTCAAAAGTTTTTTGAATTAGTAGTTTTCCTTTTATAACAAAATATACTTTTCATCAGATATTACCTTAATATTTAGATGATCGGCGAAAAAGCAAAATATTGCGTATTTTGCATTCTTTCAAAATCATACAGGTCAATTTTCTATGTTTAACGGGTATGTATATTTTTTATGTAAGTAGGTATGTTCAATTCTTGAATTGTTAAAAAAAAATTATCAAACTAGTAGTTTCACGGAGACTCCGCCTGCGTAAATAATGCAGCTTCCCGTAGATGAAAGTCTTATAAATCAGTCTAATAGTTTCGAGGTCTATCAAATGCAAATGAACAAGCAATAAAATCTTTTCTCTTTAATATATGAATATAGATTATTGGAAAAATAATGTCGAGTCAATAAACAAAATCTTCTTTTCACAATGTTGAATAATTTTATTTGGATAGATATTTGATATTCTTAGCGTTACCTATTACCATAAAAATATCAATATCACTGAAAAGTATGAAAAAAGAACTTTAAAAAATTAGAACAGACTTCATAATATATATCTCAAAAGCGACTTATTTAAGAATTAGTCGCTTTTGAGATAATTATTCATTACTTTTTTAGGGTTTGAAGTCGGTTCTATTTTTTTTTTAAGTATTTATATTACAATGAAGTTAAGATGATGAGATCTGTAAGTAATGAATTTTTATCATTATCCGATCAGTCTCATTTCACATTTAATTTAATTTCTCTTGGGACTTTTATACTCCGTGATTTATTTGACGAAATGAAAGAATCGAAACGCGCGACAAAGTGTTCTATAAAATAATAATACGTTAGAAATATGATGTGATTTTACAATTTAAGCTTAATCGGACGTCCTTAGCACAAAACCAAGCGAAAGATACTAATTTTGGTTAACATTCTTCCGATTTTGATATATCTGCCCTAATACGAACATGAAAATGAATAATTATTTATTCAAATAAGCTTAACATAAGAAGTTTTATTTTAATCCTCCAAAAGTACCTAATAGTTTATGACATAAACAAACAAAAAATCACATCTCGTAAAATTTTAAACAAGCCCGCGTAAATTAAGGCCTATGTCACCCGCGTATGTATAAATAGCGTAACGTACATATGTAGGCGTAATCATTTTCATAATAGAATCAGTATAGATGTGAAAATGAATTTATTCGTTGATTTTGAAAAGATTTAGGTAATATATGTTTTGGTAATGAAGTCTGTAAATTCAAAATCAGCTTTTTTTAGTTTACGTCCTTTTTACGAGTAAATATTTATAGCCTTCTGATCAATTGAGAGAAGGTATTCAATGTGTTTTTCAATTACCAGGAACATTTACTCGTCAATATGTCTAGTTCTTTACCAGCATTGCTATCTGTAATAAGATCAGCGTTGAACCTGGCGACGAGCACAGCGCTGTCACAGCATAGAAGTTGAATCAAATTAAATCTACTGCGAAAGGCAATAAAGTTTTTATTTCATTGATGGTTTCAGTAATACATTTATCTATGTTTATTAAACGACTAATTTTGGGTCATCATGAAATTAATTCTCAATTGATGCAGTGATTTTAAATTAATTGTGATAAACAGTCATTCGGGTGATCCTATAAAAGTTATTTTCCTTTCAAGACACGGGACCCTAAAATGAGATAAAACGTCTATAAAAAAGTCATTGCCAATTTTTATTACTTAGATTTTACGTTAACAGAACACCGCTTGAAAATCAATTTAGAATTGCCATAAAATCAATTTTCTTATTTAATTCACTTTTTCATAAAATATCAGTCGCGAAGCTTAGCATATAATTCATACATAAGTGACTACTCACTTCTAAATAACTTGCTTTGAGGCTTCAACTCCCATCTTCATCAGGAAACGTTAAAAAAAACTTTAAATACTATTTAAAAAATGAACGATCGGAACTGTAAAGCGCCCGACTTCCACCGCGGCAAGAGACCAACTGAGCGATCCACAATTCGAAATTCAAAAACTGCCTTCTGAAACAACTAAAATAGTTCGGACTCTGATTTGGGTGTTATATACCCTTCTTAACAGCATTTTCGCATCACAAGAAGAGGGGGAAACAGACCAAGGTATTCTGGTTAATTCTTATCAAGCTGCAGTGATGCTTACAGACGGAATTATATTTAAACGTCTACGCTTAAGAGTCATTTTCAAACGACAGATTATTTCTTCTTCTCGGTGTTGTTAAAACGAGGCAAAGAAATCCATGTGTAGTAAGTTTTAAGGTATAGATTTGCCTGTTTTTACCGAAAAGCTACAGGTTTCCGATAAGTTTTCAGCGGAAAGTGCGCGATTCG